CCCCCCCCCCCAAAAGAAAAGAAAGTAAGAGACCAACAACAACAGAATTACCTGGCAATAGCCAACAAAGGGATTATGCCGAGCATAGGCAGTAAGTAAACGTCTTAAAGCATTTCTTCCATCCTCATCTAGAGCAGGATGTCCAGGAAATGTTCGTGGTAGATCCTGCATGAAAGATACAAGACAAGATTGAAGCCAAAATGGATGTTCAATGACCTTTTCAATCTGCCTTCATGTAGACGGTACTGAAAAAGGAATTGATAAGTAGCATGCTCAATGACCTTTTCAATTTGCCCTCTCCATTTTTCAGGAAGACATACAGTATCTATGCTTGGGTCCACACAACTTCCATTACTCTTTGGTACAATATTTTTACACTCTGCATCATTACCAGATTTAGTGCCTAAAGCAAGCAAATCCTGGTAATAGGTCTCCACTCGGCGTGCCTTCATGCCCACAAAGGCTTGCCAAAGCTGTGATTCAAGTATCAGCATTACATAAATAAAGCTAATGCATGAACTCAGATGACTTAAAGAGCAACAGCATAAGAAAAGTTTGAGCATTCTATCTAACCTCTCCCCTGAGAGCCATGGGTACTCCACCATGAACAAGACACTCCAATTCTTCTTTCCAAGGAGGTAAAGACTCATGATCCTTAGTAGCCAAATGGCTATTATTTTCATTTAGAGGAACATCTTGCATGGAATCCAGTTCAGATCTGTCGAAAGATTCTGATCTTGCTAAATCATAAAACTCGTCGTCCGAGTCCTCTTCAGATTCTCCTTTTGTGGCTCTAGCCTCTTCAATTGCAGGAAGATGCTCCTGCAGACCACGGTCTTGCTCGTTTTTGGCCAAAGTTTCCATCTTTTTTACACGAATGCTCATTATATCCTCAATGGCACGTAGAGTTGGTCTAATCTCCGACCATATTTGGGCCTGATGAGTTTTCCTCTCAACTGAGGTTATTGTATCATCCTTCTTTCTTGCACCTTCAAGATGACCCTCAGAACGATGCTTTTCATCAGTTTGGTTATTGGTTTCATCTGCATTCTGCAAAAAGGAGCTTGCATCCTGCATGGATGATTCAGTACCAGGCTTGCCGGAGTTGCCGTCTGCAGACACCCCATTTATGGCCAACTGAGCAGGCTCTGCCTGCCGTTCCAAAAAGTCTGTCCACCTATCCGACCTCTCTTCCTCTTCTTCCTTAAAACAACGAAACAGTTGACACAATCAGAGAAAGTATTTAAATTAAGACAATCAAAGAAAAGTTTCTACATGGGAATGGTTGCTGAGAAATTTGGTAGAAGTACAATAGAAGGAAGCTGTTCTCAACGTGATACAGCTGGTTTTTGATGCTTCTTATGTAACTAACTAATTAGACGGAAATTCTTCTAGTTTAATGCTCCTCTTTCTTCTGTTCCTTCTCTCTTCTTTACACAAACTTCCTCACCAATAAACAGGATACTAATTAGTAAACCTGTAATCATGAGAAGATAATACCTTGTAGATATTTGCATATTCATGATATCTTTGTACATGCTGAGGCCGCACAGAGAACCCATAAGCATCCCTGTCCATGTTAGTACTTATATGTATTAGTCAAAAACTTTTAAGGAGAAAGTTTTACTAAAACAAAATCTTTATGAGCAGAAGTTTCCAGAAACCACATTAATTTAGATATTTCTTCTGCATGACTGAGCATTATAAAAATCAAAATAAGACAACCTGAGCTAATTGAACACAGTAACTGCCTATTAAAGCAGTATGTTTAAAAGAAACACTTTGAAAAATTTCAAATAACATTTCACCAAGAGTTCAGTATAATTACTTTGTAAAGCATTTTTAGTGTTTAATATTTACATATGACCTCATACAAAAAATTTATGCTTTGATTTGACGGTGGAGCAAATTATTTTTGAATTGAAGGACAAACTTTAGGCCTTGAAGCAGTTCCATAAATTCCAAGCTTGAGCTTTTGCCAAATGTAATTATGGCGGAACTTCTGGTACAAATTAAAGAAACTTCTAAGCATTTACCAAATACTTAAAGATATTCGTTCATGTTAAAACGCAGTTACTTGTCAAATGCACTACACTCCCAATGTGGCCTAGATGAGTCACAAATTAAGTGCATTAACGGGAAAAAATGTGAAGAGCCATTCTAACCATCAAGAAATGCAAACCAAGTTCGAAGCACATCTCTTTACTGCTCTACTTTTGCTTTTATTTTTCCTCGTGCACACCTCTCGACTATTCAACCTTATACATAGCATCCATCCAATAACTCTATCCACTCTACTTTTTTCATTGTTTACCAGCTGTCAGCTACGAAAATCACTGATTACATTAGAAAACAAGTTTTCGACAAAAAGCTCAGTTTTTAATAGCTACTCAACACCTCAAATCTTAACCGTACTTACCAATATACTCACTTGGAACTAAATCATATCAAAACAGTGAGTAGAATCTTACTAATCATGTAAAAATCGAAATAAGTTCATCTGAATACTAGAGCACTTAATATCATCTATTTTCTATATTATTTTTTCGGCGAAGTATATAATCTAGAATCAAACAGAGAGGAATAGTTCACAAAATAGAATACAATGTGAAAGGGACACGTGGAAGGCAGAGAATAGATAGTACCTCTTGTGGTCGATTGAAATGATGCAAGGATTCAACACAGCTGTTTCTGCACTCGCCTTCATTGTCGGTAAACAGTATCAAACACTTGGCCAAAATCCGTTGATTCTGATTTGAATTTCTTTCCTATTTCTGACTTTCAAATAAATTTCAAGGCTTTTTCTTCCATTTTTTCAAAGATTAAGTTAAACACTTCAAAATGCAGTTTCATATAGTTAAGTCGGTGACTAGCACTCTACTCAATGTATGAGGGAGGACACGTGGCATTCACATGGAAGAGCGAGTTTAGCGTCAGAGTGAATTTTATGAGTGAAAGTGAGGAAAAGGAGGAAAGATTTCAGTGTTGAGAGATTTCAGGGGAAGTGTGCTTTGGATCAGGTAAAAATTACAGGGCCAGTGGCTGGCCCATGTCTTTTGTCCAAACTCCCAAAATTTTCTTTACTTTTTCTATTTATCGATGAGGCCGAGGGGACCAAAATTTTATCATTTCGAAAGTAGGAGACTTTTTACCGAAAGTAAGAATCTAACTCTTTTCCTTTTTCTCTCTTTATTTTACGTAGAATATACTATGTAGCACTCCTATTTATTTGTTTTACGCCCGTTATTAGTGTTCGTATTGCAACCCCATTAATTCGAATTCGTTATATTTAACAACAACAATATAATTTCACTAGTGAAATTTAAGAAGGATAGTGTATATATAAACATTATCCATATCTTGTGAATGTAAAATGATTGTTTTCGACAGACACTTGGCTCAAGAATAAACATAGTCACAATAATATTGAAAAAGAAATGCAGTAATAGAGAAGCCATGCAAAAAAAAAAATAACAATGTCAAGATAATAAGATAATCAAGGCAAAAGAACACATGTAGTAGTAAAAATCTAAGGATAAGAAAATACGAGAATAGTATTAAATCTACTGGTATAGAAAAAAGATAAGCTCGACAACCTACTAATCTTCTACCTATCAAGGGTCATGTTATCGCTAAGCTGAAGTTATGCCTTGTCATGCCAAATCACCTCTCCTCGACACTTCTTAGGCCTACCTCTACCTCTTTTTAGACCCACCAAGACCAACCTCTCACACTTACTTACTGGTGCATCTGTACATCTCCTTTTCACATGCGCGGACTGTTAGTAATCTATATTTGCAGAGTAATTCTAGAAATAAAATAACGTAAAAACAGAAATATAAAATAAACAGAATTTAATCTAAGTCCACTGAATTCACAGTATTTTCTTAAGGAACTTAGTCCCCTCCTAGTACTCCGAGGTTGTGGACTATTTCCTCCCAGGATAAAACGGATTACACATTGGTGTAGTGGTACTTCAAACCCTAGTGTTTCAGCGAACATAATGATTGGTAGCAAATTACACTTACTGTTGCTTTATTTTCTAGTTAAAACAATGCAGAAGAAAGAAGGAGAATTCAGAATTTCATAAGGAAAATCTGAGAAAATGGCCTGCTATTTATAGCCAATAGGTTGGGTTCAAACAAAGAGGTGCAACTCTTCATGATGATTGTTTGCGTAAAAACAGTCATTACGTAAATGACTATTTACGCAAAATAAAATGAAAAAATCAAACGTGGAGGAAAATTAATTTACTGCTACAAAAATGGCTACTTTGGATTAAAATAATATTACGTTAATCTTAATATTAACAAATAAATTTGGTCCAAAAAATTAATCAATCAATCAGATCATTTGACCAAATTCAAATCCGAAGTCAAGCCGAGCGAGCGAGCGAGCGACGACGGCGCGAGGCTTGCCTTCTTCTCAACTCTTTAAGAGCTAGAAGAACAACAATTGTATATATACCCATCAAAATTCTTTTTCTTCTCCAATGTAGGACAATGTCCCTTTGTCAAAGAGAAAAATTTAAATATTTTATTTTTTCCTTAATTTCTCATTCACTCTATTTTAAGCTAAACCAAGTTTAAAGCCAACAATCCCCACATAAATGGGGAATGGCTATATCACAAAAATATGCATGAAAACAGTATGATTCGCAAGCAATGATTAATCGCATCTGGATAAGTAAGTTTTCCTTTGAACTTTCCGTAGTGAACTTATGTCGGATATACTCGGTCAATCGGTAGATTTGATATTTTTGAACCGTCGAACTTTGGTGTATACCTAGACAACCATAAGCCACACAATCAACCTTTAACCGTCTTTGGTTCTTATTGTTGTGTTCGTTTCAACCATGAACACCGCATATTTCATAAGTGCATAGAGAACTGGCCTTGCAAAATTCTCCTCGATGCGGCTAACACTTCACACTTACATAGGTGATTCCTAAATGTGTCATCCCGTAGATACACTCTTTGATATACCTCGTATCAAATTTAGAAACCATTAAAATTCCTTAATATTTTATCCTTGGTACTGAACATTGTCTCATCACGAGAATGGACCAAAATTTTAGTTGACAATGTTGAACCGTCATTAATGACTTTGTTTGATTTTCTTGAACCTAAATCTTGGGATCTCCAGTCCTCTAGGTAGAGTTACCGCCACAATGACTTATCCTCGGCCATAGTCCCATTCCCCTCAATGATCTTTCAACTATCTATGTGGTTAGGCTTTCTGTAAGCGGATCTGACACATTATCGCTTGACTTAACGTAGTCAATTGTGATAATTCCCCTAGAAAGTAGCTGCCTAACGGTTTTATGTCTTCATCGTGTATGACGAGATTTATCATTATACATAACACTCACAGCCCTTCCAATTACCGTTTGACTATCGCAATGTATGCATATTGGTGCCAACGATTTGGGCCAAAATGGAATATCTTCCAAGATATTTCGGAGCCATTGAGCTTCTTCGCCAACTGTAATGACCCAATCGGTCATTTTAACTTTAAGGAACCCGTTCCCTAAAATAAAACTCCCCGAATATACTTTTATTAATTTATGACTCGCGGGGGATGGTTGGTTCGGGATTTGAAAGTGTGTGGGTTGAAATCGGAATATTTGGTTCCTTAAGTTAGCTTTAAAGAGACAAGTTTGACTTCGGTCAATATTTTAAGAAAACGACCCCGAAATCGGAATTTGACGGTTTCAATAGGTTCATATGATGATTTTGAACTTGGGCGTATGTTCGAATCGGGATTTTGGATAACCGGGGAGCGTTTTGCCGCTTAATAGTAAAAATCAACTATTTGAAGCTTTAAAATTCTTTAAATTTGGTTTGAGGTAAGTTTTTGAGTAATTGAAATCCGTTTGGAATTCCGAGTTTGGGAATAGTTTCGTATAGTGATTTAAGACTTGCACGCGAAATTTCGTGTCATTCCGAGTAGTTTAAGTATATTTCGGCGCATTGGAAGTAATTTGAAGAACTTGAAATTCTTAAATTTGAATCAATTTGGTTTAGGGTATGATTCTTAGATTTGATGTTATTTTACGCGTTCTGAGAGTTCGAGCGAGTCCGTTTTATGATTTCAAACTTGTTGGTATCTTCGGGTGGGGTCTCGGGGACCCCGAGTGTCAATCGGACAAGGCTCGGACCAAGTTAGAAGTTGGGAGCCAAAACTGAAGCTCCCAGTTACTGTCAGAATTGCACCTGCGCTTGGCCAGTCGCAGGTGTGACATTCGCAGATACAACAGAAGCTCGCAGGCGCGGCACTCGCTAATGCGAGATTTCTTCACAGAAGCGGAAAAGGAAAGGGGAGGCCATCACCGCAGATGCGGAATTTTGGCGCACCTGCGATCGCGCATGTGCGAAGCAGTGTGCGCAGATGCGAGCTTGGCCAAGGCTAGTGAGACTCGCACCTACGAGGATTTTTCCGCAGGTGTGAAAGCCGCAGATGCGGTACCTCTTCCGCATGTGCGAAAATCATTGTTGGACAGAATGGTTAAAAATCGGGGCTCAGACATTTTGAGCCCATTTTTCCTCCATTTCCGGGCGATTTCAGAGCTTTTGAGAGGGGGATTTCAACTAGCAATTGGAAGGTAAGTTAATTATACACCCCTTGAGTTAAGTACATAGATTATAGGTAGATTATAACTAGTAAATCTTAGAAATCAAGGGTTTAGATAAAAAAAAAAAACCTAGATTTTTATAAAAATGAGATTTTAACCACGAAAATAGTTATGAAATTGGATAGAAATTATATGTTTGAGTTCTTTAGATTATGAGTAACATTTTCATCCGAAAATTTTCGGAATCCGGGCACGTGGACCTAGGGTGGATTTTAAAAATTTTACTATTTTGGATAAGGTAATTTATTTAATAGATAAATTTCGAATCATTTAGCATATATTAATTATTTTGTATAATATTTGGATAGTTTCAGATTTTTCGGCGTCGAATCGAGAATTCAACGCGACGTGGTAATCGAAAAGTGGACTTTGAGACGAGGTAAGTCTCTTGTCTAATCTTGTGAGGGAAAAATTACCCCATAGGGATTAAATTGAATAATTATTGCTAATTGCGGGGACTACGTACGCACGAGGTGACGAGAGTCCGTGCGTAGCTACTATTAATGCTAAAGTCCGGGTAGTTTAGGACTCAAAGTATGAATTACTTGTGTAAATTCTATTCTTTGTTTAATTAATATTAATTGATATATATATATGAATATATTGTGAATTGTCAGATAAAGATATTAAAGGATGGAAATCTCATATGCTTGATTTTCTGTTTTAAATTAATTAATTATTAAAAGAAATTGTTCTTCCTCCCGAATTTATCTTATAATAAATATACTATCCTTTCGGAGGTGCATAAGAAAATGCCCCCCTTTCTTGTGGAGCGGGCCGAACGCCTCGACAAGATAGATGCATCTATGGATCGTGTCGCACGTCCCTCGACAGTGTACACAACACTCTGGATCGGGCCGTACGTCCTCGGCAAAAATCGTGCTTAATAATAATAATCACACGATACCTTAATAGCTTATTTCACCTTGCGAAGCCAATTGATAAATTTGAGAATCCTTGAAATTTAATGAATTATTATGCGTGCTGGTTAAAAAATTAATTGTTATTCCTGTAAATGAGATTTAATTGATAAATTGGAAATTATTTGAATTGAAGGAGTTTAATTAATATATTGAGAATTGTTGCATTTGAAGGAATTTGATTATTTTTGCTGGTTAAATAAATTATTGTAAATTCTATGAATCATATTGATTTAAATATTCCAGTTGTATTTCAATTATTATTATTGACACATAGTGAGTGTCAAAGTCGGTCATCTCGTCTCTACCACTTCGAGATTAGGCTTGATACTTACTGGTTACACGTTGTATACGTACTCATACTACACTTGCTGCACTTTTTGTGCAGGACCTGCGGCAAGTACTAGTGGGGGACCTATCGTCTTACATCCACGCTATCCAGGGGCATAGTGGTGAGGTGTCTTTCTGAGCCGTTCTGCAGATACT